CGTGTCAACTCGAGAAACGGCTGCCTAGATGGGTCGACACATCTATGGAAAGCAAAATGCCCCCCCCCCCGTCGACAAACTGCGCCCCTCCTGGGTTCTCTATCGTTCCACTGGGTTTTTTCCGGAATTTTCCCACTAGATAGCGCCCTGCTAGCGTTTTAGCCCTAGCACCGAATTATCGTTCCAACTGCCTTTAAAGGAAAACATTGTAAAATAGTAATTTTTTCAAGATCTTCGTGCTAGCACAAAAATAGTAGCTAAGCCGGCTAAACTTGAAACTACGATGGCGACGGTCTTATCACGTTTCTAGTTACGTTCACTTGTCAGCTGGCTCTAACTCTGTAAGGTGCCTGAGGGAAATTCAGTTGAGGTGCTGGAAACGCACAGTCGCCCACGCATGTGTACATACTATAGCTGGAATCCGTTTGGTGGTTGGTGTGGACATTTACGGTATGTAGTGTTATCAGCAGTCATGCCGAAACGCCATCACCAGACATTGTTTGGCGTATCTGTCGCGTTCTTATCAGAGCCCCTTTCCTGAGAACACTGGCATTCCTTATCATATTAGCGGGAACACTCGCTACAACTTGTATTTTTGCAACAATGGACAAAGAATAAGAATTTAGCAAGGAGCATACAACCAACAGCGTGTACCTTGGACGGCAGCGACAGACGCATGACAGTCCAAAATGCAACTTGCAACTGCTGGCCAATGTGCAAGTCACTACTTTTGCCCTCTCATTGAGGAATCACCCACATTCACTTTTGAAATACACTACCCACGCTACGTCACTATGTGTGACACTGGAAATTAGCCACTTTGAAGAACAATCAGAACTGAAGAGACAAATTTCTAAATCAATATAGCTGCCGCGATAATTTTTGATTACATCACATATACATACAATTGAGTACGCTTTTAGGTGTTTTCCTACATATCGTTGGGGCGATTGGCGTCACGGCGGGTGCACATCGATTGTGGTCCCACAAGGCTTACAAGGCGAACTTACCATACCGTATCCTACTGATGCTTATGGACACAACCGCATTCCAGGTTCGTAATGAAGTGGACATACTCTAAGTCGGTTAGATTCCAGACAATTCCGTGAAAGTATTGGATATGTAACGTTGGAATGCGTTCATGCTTTGTGTTAGCGTCTACCGGCGACCAGGAGCGTCCAGTCAGCGACCACTAGCGTTCCGAGCGTCCGGCAGCGTCAGCGACTAGGAAAGTATAGATATCGATCTAGCGACCAGCAGCGTCTACCAGTGTCCACCAGCGTCCACCAGCGATCCATCAGCGTCCACCAGCGATTAGCAGGGCTAGAGGAGATGTAGGTA